CACCTACTGCACATTATAAGATACTACTAGAGCAAGGGAATATTTCTTCGACAGATTGATCATAATAAATGACATATTTCTCAGATGAACTGGAACGTGTCACACTACTTTGAATAAGGGACGGGTTATTATCGTTACCTTAAAGAAAAACTCCAAAAAAAATATAGAAAGCTGCAGCACATGTATAACTTGGCTGCCAAAAGATTTGTAATCCTTTTAGCCAATTTTTGGTATTATTCCAGGCACCCCTGCCACACTATAGCCAGATTCTGAGTTCCAGGGGAGTTGAAAAAAATATCCTGGACAAGGACTCGCTCTTCAGCATGCTGGCTGGACAACTGAGAAGAAGCAGCTTGCTGGTGAGCTCAACACCCTCTCCTTTACTGAAAGCATGTTCACAGTGTTAAGATTGCTAAGACTGTTGTGACTGTTGTGAAATGCACTAAAACTCTGATTGGCTTGGAGTGCTGACCTTCCCTCTGCTAGTGTGCATGCTACTGTACAGAGGATTATAGGAAGCTGATATAAAGACAGATTTCAGAACTTATGCTAGCTGTATTTATAATGCCAAGAAGCTGATATAAAGACAGTTTTCAGAACATATGCTAGCTGTATTTATAGTGACAAGAAGGTGATATAAAGACAGTTTTCAGGACTTATGCTAGCTGTATTTATACTGACAAGAAGCTGATATAAAGACTCAGGACTTATAGCTGTAAAGAAGAAGTGATTACAGAAGTTTACAGAATGCTAGCTGTATTTATAATGACAAGAAGGTGATATAAAGACAGTTTTCAGAACTTATGCTAGCTGTATTTATAATGCCAAGAAGCTGATATAAAGACAGTTTTCAGAACATATGCTAGCTGTATTTATAGTGACAAGAAGCTGATATAAAGACAGTTTTCAGAACATATGCTAGCTGTATTTATAATGCCAAGAAGCTGATATAAAGACAGTTTTCAGGACATATAGCTGCTAATGCAAATTTATAAAGACAGTTTTCAGGATGCTAGCTGTATTTATAAGCCAAGAAGCTGATATAAAGACAGTTTTCAGAACATATGCTAGCTGTATTTATAGTGACAAGAAGCTGATATAAAGACAGTTTTCAGGACTTATGCTAGCTGTATTTATAATGCCAAGAAGCTGATATGAAGACAGTTTTCAGGACTTATGCTAGCTGAATTTATAATGCCAAGAAGCTGATATAAAGACAGTTTTCATAACTTATGCTAGCTGTATTTATAATGCCAAGAAGCTGATATAAAGACAGTTTTCAGGGCGTATGCTAGCTGTATTTATAGTGACAAGAAGCTGATATAAAGACAGTTTTCAGGACTTATGTTAGCTGTATTTAGAATGATTTATAAAAAAGCTGATATAAAGACAGTTTTCAGGACTTATGCTAGCTGTATCAGGGACTTATGCTAGCTGTATTTATAATGCCAAGAAGCTGATATAAAGACAGTTTTCAGGACTTATGCTAGCTGTATTTAGAATGACAAAAAGCTGATATAAAGACAGTTTTCAGGACTTATGCTAGCTGTATTTATAGTGACAAGAAGCTGATATAAAGATAGTTTTCAGGACTTATGCTAGCTGTATTTAGAATGAAAAAAAGCTGATATAAAGACAGTTTTCAGGACTTATGCTAGCTGTATTTATAATGCCAAGAAGCTGATATAAAGACAGTGTTCAGAACTTATGCTAGCTGTATTTAGAACGAAAAAAAGCTGATATAAAGACAGTTTTCAGGACTTATGCTAGCTGTATTTATAATGACAAGAAGCTGATATAAAGACAGGCTTAGGTACTTATGCTAGCTGCATTAAAAAATGCATTTCAGGATTTTCAAATGCATACATAATTGGAATAAATTGTGCCTTTTTTCACTCTTGTGTTGCTGCTGTCACCTACGTAGGGAGGAAGAAGTCACTGCTGATATATTCGTATACAAGCTACAAATATAGACTGATATAGTATATAGTACATATGTCACCTCTGGAAGGTGGAGGAAGCCATTGCCGTATACTTTAATACAATTTCCACATTTGCAGCTAAAGGCATCTGATGCCTTACATTACAGAATATGTTCCACTTCTACAATACAAAGGCAGCTATTGACTCATAGTAAATATGTCACCCCTATATTGGAGAAGCCTAAATTATAATGAACCTGCCACCTCTGGAGTGCGGAGGTGCCCATCATGCCAATTTATTATTCAGGGGCAAATGGCAAACGTTCCGGAAGATCATTTATTTTCTATTTATGTTTTTAACAATACAGAAATATATAATACAACTATTTTAGATTGTAAGCCCTCACAAGCAGGGCCCTCCTAACCCTTTACCTCATATTATATTGCCACTGTACCTTCTCCCGTTATTTTGTAAAGTGCTTCACAAATGTTGGCACTATATAAATTTTATATAATACCCACCCATGATAATAATAATAATAATAATAATTTGAATGTAACTGAGATCCCTTAATAATAATGTACAGATTGCAATACTTTTTGTCTGTTTTTATTACCCCAATAATTGCAACATTTTGTGTGAGTTACTCTAAAAGTGTGAATATATACCTGAGTGTAATAGGAGAAATAAAATAATTATAAGATATTATATAGCTCCATATTTGAAAATGGCAAATTGCAGAAACCGCCATCACATAAAGAAACAGCTCACAAAATGATTGAATCATTTCTATTAAGAAGCAATATTTTAACTTTTTTTTTATTTAATAAAAAAAAAACTTTATAAAAAGTAATGTAAGGGCATACAGAATACGAGGATATAAAAGACACGGTATTAGAGATATATACCTAAACAAATAATACAAGTATTCTATCATTACAAGTTGATTCAAATAGAGAAATACAGAACAATAGTGACCTGCAAAGGTTATGAAACTCTTGTTATAATATGTAAAAATTCTATACCAAGCTGCATAGAAATAAGGAATCAAGAAACAAAACTCTTGTCCCGTTTGCGTTAACAAATAAATATTTAATAACGATTATAAAAAAATGTAAAAAATATAAATTTATCTTTCAATAATGACTCTTCTGCACTATTATTCTTGCCTAACAAATTATTTTGGCTAAAAAAAATTTATTATTTATAAATGCTACATTCTTCCTAATCAACAGCTATATTAAACTGAAAACATTCTATATAAGTTACATTTTGAGGGATATGCAATAATTAAAAATATTTTTTTTTCCTAGTCACTATGTGGGTTAAGGAGAGCTATCCTGGGGTCGGGGAGGTTTAGGACCCAGCAGGCACACTCTCAATTGGTTAGGATTTAGGAAAGGAGGGGGAAGGTTGGTGAAGGGTTGTTGTGGAGAGGCTGTCAGGGAGTGTGTGAGAGTGTGTGTTTGGGGGGGAGTGACTGCAGTGGGTAGTGTCAGCTAACTATTCACACCATCAGGGGGAGATATTTAACTTGCATTGGAGTGGAGAGCAGAGCACATTAAGGAGTGAGTAGCACAAGAAGAGGGTCATTCTACTGCAAGCTCTGCCTAGAGAAGGGTGACTATTAGGTTTCAGAAGAGAAGAACCCTGAAAAGCACCTGCCTTGGAGATCCGACCCTTAAAGCAGAGGCATCACGGTGGACATCACACTTGTTGACCATTCTCTTGGTACCTTCTGCATTGCAACCTGCTGCTCACCAGTTCCCATCTGGCCATTGCAGAGGGACAGACACCAGACCCTGGGGCCATCCACCAGCCAAGCAGTATGGTGTAGACCATGCCTGAACTGTGAAGGACATCTGGATATATCATTCATTTTAGCAATGTGATACCACAAAGTATCTTTTAATCTGTGCACCCACATATATTGTAATACCGAAAGAGGGGGCTTATCAGTGTGCCTCCCAAGAAGCAACATCTCATTTGCACCCAAAAAACATTCTTTCCCAGCCAGAGGAGAAAGAAAAGAGCTTTGCCCTGCACACCCACAGCTCCATGTGTTTGCTGTCTCGCTGCTCTCTGTGTCTTTTCATTTGCCTTTAAAAAAAAAAAAGGACTTGCTACCCCTCCATACAAAGGCTGGAGCCAGAGGAATTGTGACAAAACTAATTCTCCCTGGATGAGCAAATCTCCATGCAACAGCCCTCGTTCAAAAAAGGATTCCTTTAAAATTAGGAGGGAGAAAGTGCAAACATCCTTGAGGATGAAGTCTATCGCCTGTGCAAGTCTACAGGGACTTTGGAACTGTCTAAATCGCAAGGGCAATTCAATTTTTTTACTTTAAGGATCTCTACGTTTTTTTTGCAGGATTTTTTATATATATATTTTTTTCAGTTGCTGCACACCAAGATTCGAGACGCTTGGAAACTCAATGTTTTGGATAAGCTACCAGTCTACATCTCTGCCTATAATTTTCCCCAATTGAAAGGATTAATTTTAATTATTTTTAAACCATTGGCTCCTGTCTCAGAGCAGACTGTATTGCAGAGTCTAGACAAGTTGTCCTGGATGTCACCATGGGGATGGAGCCTATTCCTCTGTGAATTTTTATATCCTGCGAGCCAGCTCCTGCACAGGAATAAGAAAGAGGGGGGCAACCGAAAACTCGGAGGAAGGGGCAAATTAAAAATCTTTGCCTTCCTTGTGTGGTTCACCCTACTGACAGACACAGCTACTTCTCTGTGAGAAACTTCCTGGCTCCACCAGGCTGCAGATCACATACAGTATATCCATCTGTGTGTGTGTGTCACACACCGCTGATCTATTTAAAGCATCTTCTCCGGACTTTGTGTCTATTTCTGAGCTCCGCTACACAGGCCAAGGAGAGAATATAAGCAATTAGTTTGGTCGAAAAAGCATTTACTAAAACTCATGTGCTCACCTGCGTTCTGATACTCTCCCTCTGGATTACTATCATTTTTTTTTTCTTTTTTTGACATCTAAAAGTCATTTGATTAAACCACGTGGGAGGGGGGTGGGAGAACCTTGTTCGTCTTTGAAGGGGGTTTAACATCATGAAGAGGATCAATCTCCCTCAGGCAGTTTTGCTTTGCTCCTGTTTGGTTCTAGTTCACCATCAGGGGTCCTGCCAACCATTTCTCAGGTTCAGACCCTCTCCCAGCGGAGAGTTGCCCGTCTTGCCCGTCATTGAGCAGCCTGACCCAGAGCAGGACCCAAAGGAGCAGGACCTGGATGAGAGGACACTGAGAAAGAAACTTGGCAGCAACTTTGACCCCAATTTCATGGCGGTGGTTTTGCCCAACCTCGTTAATGCGTCCACCCACGACTCACTGACAAAAACTAAACACCCTGGCACTCTGCCAGTGGACTTGAAGAAGATGGACCTCAGTGAGGCACCTTATGGTGGAAGGATCAAGATGGGGAAGAAAGCCAGGAGAAAGTTCTTACAGTGGTTGTGGGCTTATACTTACTGCCCGGTACTATACACTTGGAAGGACTTGGGGGTCAGGTTTTGGCCAAGGTTCATCAAAGAAGGACAATGCTTTTCAGAAAAGTCTTGCTCCTTGCCAGAGGGCATGTACTGCAGACCCCACAAGACCGTCACCAAAATTTTCCTGAGGTGGCACTGCCAGGGCTGGTCAAGGCAGAGGTTCTGTACCTGGATCCCTTTCCAGTATCCAATATTATCAGAGTGTAAGTGCTCATGTTAACTGCTGCTCATCAGTGAAAAAGACTTGAGGGCTGAATGGGTCACTGGTTAAACCTTGCACTTCTGAAGGACAAGTAACCTGGTGCTTTTTTTTTTTTTTTTTTGCCATTGACACTGGGGAACTGGATAGTGAATACAACCACAGTTCGGGCTGGTTGACAGCAGAAAAAACTTTGGAGGTGGGGGGAGTGGACTCCCTTAACCCTTTCTGTACTTTCAATGAAGTCACAGAATAAGGTATTCTTGATGAGGCCAGACAGGGACAGACAAAACAAAAAAAAAAAGGAATTATTGCCATAAATTAATATTTTTTTTTTCAGTTGGGATATTAATCAATTTATGAAGTATTAAGATGATAGAAAGTGTTATCTTCCCCGACCTTGCACTGTTGATAACTATAATTATTCATATTATTATTATTGTATTATTGCTATGTATATTATTTTTAAAGCTTGATAAAAGCATCCGGAACTAAGCACCTCCAATCAGATGTTTTATTTTTATATGTAATATAGCTTTTTAACATAAATAAAAAAAAAAACATAAGAACAAAACAGAAAAAAAGGGAATCTAAATCCAAGTCACCAGCTTTTGTAAATAAATAGATTTTTTTATGTAACTGATGTAATTTTCTCTTTTACTGTTGCTAGCTGTATTTTATTTTCAAAGGGTATTTGTAGTATATAAGACATGGACCAGACTTCAAATCTGTCTTGCGCTGCTCCCTTAACTTAACCCCTGCAATGCCACCATGTTCTTCAGTGCCGTACTTACACCCCACACGTTTTCCGTAGCGGCCAATGGTAAATCAGATCCACGACACAAATTAATCTGAAACTTATATCTAGGTATTTTATTATAATAAAATAATTGACAAATATAAATAACTGCAAAAAGTATAGATGTTTTATAACAGAGTGGTATCTTTTTTTTCTGTACTATGGGTAGACTTTTTAGAAAGCAGATTTGATTATCTTTGTATATTTATTTATTTGTAAGGATTGCAGGTAAGGAATGCAAAAAGACAAAAGGAAATGTGGTTATAATCGCAAAAAAAAACAAAACTATTGGTCAGCTATACTTGAAAGCTCCTTTTTCACGTGACGGGTTTAAATAAGAAAGGAAGTCACGCCAGACGATTTAGGAGAAAATAAATATACAGTGGTTCAAATAAGAATTCTTGGTGTCCTTTATTTAATACGACCGTTCGGCATGACTCTTAATTCATACCCAGCGAAATGGCATCATTAACATCAGACTTTGTTTACTTGGCTGAAGACTAAAGCAAGTTTTTTTTACTGAGAGAGGGATTATATCATTCTACAGGCTGCTTCTTCTCATTAGCCATTATTAATTAACGGCGTGCTAAGTGTAACAATATGCTCCCGTGATAAGCTCCCATCGAATTACAAAAATGAGGATATTGTTTTAATAGGAGAATTAGTTGAACTCGCTAATCGCAACCAGTTAAAACGTTTGCCTCCATTCCTTGGAATGAGAACGTGGCAAATGGAGTTCCTGACACCGTGCAAAATGATGTGTGCATCCATCCCCTTTCATACGTCATGTTGAATGACTGCACATAGAACAGAGAAGGGGAGCTACATCTTTTTTTTTTTTTCCTTGTTCAGACATGCTCAGTAGGTATGCTAAATAAAGGTTTTTTTTGCCTCAGAAACCATGCCATGGCTATAGGATGAGGCTAGCCAGGATGAAAACTGAAAATGCTGAAGCATAGCTAAATCCAAGAAAAAAATTAATATATTTCAGCCTTTAGACATGACCGTTTTCAACTCTTTTTTCCCTTTATTTGCACCTGGTGAATCTGCAAGCAACATGCTTCCTGTTCTAACTTGGCAATGCTATTTTGCGGTACTGTATCTAAGCAGCAGTGTTGTCACCCTAGGACAGGACTGCTGAAACCTCCCCCTGTTCTAGGGTGTCAATGCTGACTTGCCATGCTGTATCTATGAAGTTGTGTTGTCACTCTAGGAAGGGACTACAGAAATCTTCCCCCTTTTCTAAGGTGACAACGCTCACTCTCCATATTGTATCTATGAAGCAGTGTTGTCACCCTCGAACAGGACTACTGAAACCTCCTCCCAATCTGGGGTGACAGCACTCACTTGCTATACTGTAACTAAGAAGCAGTGTTGTCACCCTAGGATAGAACTACCAAAATGTATTCTTGTTCTAGGGTGTCAATGCTGACTTGCCATGCTGTATCTATGAAGTTGTGTTGTCACTCTAGGAAGGGACTACAGAAATCTTCCCCCTTTTCTAAGGCGACAACGCTCACTCTCCATATTGTATCTATGAAGCAGTGTTGTCACCCTCGAACAGGACTTCTGAAACCTCTTCCCCCCAATCTGGGGTGACAGCGCTCACTTGCTATACTGTAACTAAGAAGCAGTGTTGTCACCCTAGGATAGGACTACAAAAGGTATTCTTGTTCTAGGGTGTCAAAGCTGACTTGCCAAGCTGTATCTATGAAGTTGGCAATGCTATTTTGCGGTACTGTATCTATGCAGCAGTGTTGTCACCCCTAGGACAGGACTGCTGAAACCTCCCCCTGTTCTAGGGTGTCATTGCTTACTTGCCATGCTGTATCTAAGAAGTTGTGTTGTCACTCTAGGAAGGGACTACAGAAACCTTCCCCCTCTTGTTCTAAGGTGACAACGCTCACTCTCCATATTGTATCTATGAAGCAGTGTTGTCACCCTCGAACAGGACTACTGAAACCTCCTCCCAATCCTAGGGTGACAGTGCTCACTTGCTATACTGCATCTAAGAAGCAGTGTTGTCACCCTAGGATAGGACTACCGAAATGTATTCTTGTTCTAGGGCGAAAGTGCTCAGTTGTCGGTCAGGACTACTGAAAACTTCTCCCTTTCCTAGGGTGACAATGCTCACACACCATACTGAATTTATAAAGAAGTGTTGTCACTCTATGACAGGACTACTGAAATTTCCCCCTATTCTATGGGGTGACAACGCTCACTCTCTATTGTATCTATGAAGCAGTGTTGTCACCCTTTGACAGGACTACAGAAACCTCCTTCCAATATGGGGTGACAGCGCTCACTTGCTATCCTGTATCTAAGAAGCAATTTTGTCACCCTTGAACAGGACTACAGAAACCTCCTCCCAATATGGGGTGACAGTGCTCACTTACTATACTGTATCTAAGAAGCAGTGTTGTCACCCTTGGATAGGACTACTGAAACCTACCCCTGTTCTAGGGTGACAACGCTCACTTGCCGGACAGGACTACTGAAAACCTCCCCCTTTTCTAGAGTGACAATACTCACATGCCATACTGAATTGAAGCATCGTTGTCACCCTAAGACAGGACTGCTGAAACATTCCCCTGTTCTAGGGTGACAAACGCTCACATGCCATACTGAATTTGTGAAGCAGTGTTGTCACTCTAGGACAGGACTACTGAAACCCCCCCCTGTTCCAGGGTGGCAATGATCACTTGCCATACCGTATCTTTGAAGCAGTGATGTCACTTTAGGACAGGACTACTGAAACTTATCCCTGTTCTAGGGTGACAACGCTCACACGCCATACTGAATTTGTAAAGCAGTGTTGTCACTTTAGGACAGGACTACTGAAACCTCCCTCTGTTCTAGGGTTACAGTGTTCACTCGCTGTACTGTATCTATGACACATTGTTGTCACTCTAGGACAGGACTACTGAAACCTCCCTCTGTTCTAGGGTTACAGTGTTCACTCGCTGTACTGCATCTATGACACATTGTTGTCACTCTAGGACAGGACTACTGAAACCTCCCTCTGTTCCTAGGGTTACAACGTTCACTCGCTGTGTACTGTATTTATGAAGCAGTGTTGTCACTCTAGGACAGGACTACTGAAACCGCCCTCTGTTCCATGGTTACAAAGTTCTCTCGCTGTACTGCATCTATGACACATTGTTGTCACTCTAGGACAGGACTACTGAAACCTGCCTCTGTTCTAGGGTGACAAAGTCACTCTCCATACTGTATATATGAAGCAGTGTTGTCACCCTAGGATAGGACTACTGAAAACTACCGCAGTTCTAGGTTGACAATGCTCACTCTCTGTACTGTATCTATGAAGCAGTGTTCTCACTCTGAGACATGACTACAGAAACCTACCCCTTCTCTGTTCCCCTCCATAGAGGGGTGGGGTTCTGTAGTCCTTAGAGAAGACTTGGAGCAATGTAACTGGTAAGACTGCAGCACAATTATAGAGTATATAACGGGCGGACTGACAACTCATGGGGCCCCCGGGCAATAGGGGATCATGGGGCCCCTGTGTCCTTGCCCAAACTCAAAAAAGACTGTGAAAAAGGTACCAGGGGCATCTCATGGGGCCCCCTACTGACCGAGTTTCCAAATGGTCAGTCCGCCCTGGTATATAAAGTATGTCAGCTGACAAGATTTCTGTCAGGATCAACATGTATTTTTTTTTTTTTTGCACTTATGGAACAGATATAGAAAAAAAAAAGTTTCCAATGGAATGTTTCATTAATAGGGTTTCCATGCACTTTCATCAGGCTGGCTACATTGCTGTGATGTGTGATTGGTAAGTAGAGCCAGCAGTAAAGAAATAACCTTTGCAGCTTCTTATTAAAGAAGACTCAACCTATTTTTTTTTTTTTAATTTGCAAGTGAGAGACTGGAAAAAAGCAGAGCTGCTCCCCACAGACAATAGTCGGCCAGTGTAATAAGCCATTTAGATAGCACCAGGTCTGCTCACTATAAAACTATGGGGGTCTTACATCAAAGACTCTCACAAAGAAAACAGTTCAAAACTGCAGCAGATTTAATAGGTTGAAGGCAAAGGCTTGAGAGAAGGTAAAGGATTTATTTTATTGAGAAATTGATTATATCCCAGTCTAGCCACCATAATTCGTTTTAAACACGCTACAATAAAACAAATAGCCCTTTGACACGTAGGGTACGTCTGTAAAGCAACGCAAAGCCCCTCTGGTGGGCAAGGAGAGGGAAT